CGCCTCTTTTTCTGCACCCTCCCGGCGGCCGCGGCCAGGGCCGGAGCCGCAGCCGCAGGCGCGCGCTGCGCGGAGCCCGGGACTGCGCCGGGCCTCGCAGGCGGTGGCGCGCCGAGCGCAGCCGGGCTCCTTCCTCGCGACCTCTGGGCCCTGTTGCTTGGGCGCACCTGGCGCCTGTGAGGCCGGGGCCGGCGACTTCGGGAAGCTAGCAGGAGGCCGGGCCACGCGCAGCCCCTGCCGGCCCAGGGTCCTGGGGCCGGGCCCCGAGTAGTGCATGCGGGGCGGGGCGGCCGTGAGCCGGAGGCGAAGATGGAAGGCTTAACGCTGAGCGATGCGGAGCAGAAATACTATTCAGATCTCTTCTCCTACTGCGACATTGAGAGCACCAAGAAGGTGGTGGTCAACGGGCGGGTGCTGGAGCTGTTCCGGGCCGCGCAGCTGCCCAACGACGTGGTCCTACAGGTAACGTCGCGTCCTGGGGTCGGCGGGCGGCTCAGGCCTGCAGTCGCCAGCCTCCGGGAGTGGGAGTGGGCGCCGATTCCTTGGGGACCGGCGGGGGTCTGGGTCGGAGTCCCCGCAGCGGGTAGGGGCCGCAGGTGCCCGGGAGGCCTGGACTCGCGCGGCGGCCGAGGGGGAGGGGATGGCTCTTAGAAGACGGAACTCCTGTGGTGGGGGTCTGAAGAGCCTCAGCCGGTATCCCCCACTACCCTGAGAATCTGTGCTCTGCACTACAAGAGCTACCTCACGTGAAGGATCTTAGGTTGTTAATGTGTGTGAATCCTGGAACCTGGCATACAGAGCTTTTCGGATCCTGCGGAGTAGTGAAGTTATCAGTATGGGCAAAATGGTTTTTTTAATTCTTGAATTAACCGAGAAGACGCGATAAAGTGAGTTTTACAGGTTTAGGCATCGAAGAAACTGTTTTATTAAAGGAAGCAAAATTCTTAGGGCAATTTTTAAAAATGTGAACTAGTGAGTAGTTTTACAAGTAGGCATACAAGAAGTTGTAATTATCTGTAGAACGTGTGTATGAAACTGAACAGTTTTTTTCAGCAGGCGTTCGAAAGCATTTGTGGAACTTGCGGATTTAGGTTGGGAGATGAGTATTGAACAGCTGGTAGACAGAAGTGCGTATTTTCCCTAATCTGAAGCCCTGGAGGAGCAAGCCCTATAGGTTTCAAGCGTTCTTTATCATATATGCTTTTAAAACAGAAGACTTCCTAGAAATTCTTATCTAATGTATGTGGTGAGCATTAGTGCTACTCTGTTTAATGATTCATAGCTGCTAGTAGGAGTCTGTCTAAACAGCATATTAGGAACAGGTTTTAAGCATTCATCTTTTATATTGATCCAAGCTAGTTATCCACATCATCCACATCTCCAAAACTTAAAGCCACATGTGTAGGCGTATGTAGTGGACTGCAGAGCATTGGACCAGGGTTTTGAGGGCTGGGTCCTTGACCCTACTCTGCTGTTAACCAGCAATATGACTTTGGGTCAGGCACTTTCCCTTTTCAAGCATAAGTATGTTCATCCACAGAATGAAGGCAAGTTTCTTCTAACAAAAATTCTGTGAAGTATAAAAATGTCCACACACAGGCCTCTGTTTTAGAAGTTAGGTCCGCATTAACTATGACTAAGTTGAACGAGTTAGATCTTTTTACATGTTCTTGTGTTTTATATTGCTTTTTTAAAATCTTGGGAGGAAAAATGTGGGATGTCTTACGTGCCAGTGAAGGGCAACGAGGAGTCCAATTTCATCCTGTTGAAAAGGGACAAATAGTAAATATTTTGGGCTTTGCTGGCCATATATGCTCTCTGTTGCATATTCTTCTTTGTTTTTGTGTTTACAAAACACAAATATGTAAAACAATTCTTAGCTCAGGGACATACAAAACTGATTCTGTGGTCTGCTAACAGAGGGTGCTGGTAGTGTGGTCTACGGTACTCTCCTCTTACAACTTTGGAGTAGGACTTAAAGATCTGGTCAGAACATGCTCATTAATGATCCTCTTTTTGCTCCTTTTGAAGAAATAACAGAATATACCTTCAAGTTAGGATCTAAATAAAATTAAGGAAAAGCCTTCTGTGTTCTATTTTGGTTTGTCTTTGAGGTGAGAAGGAGTTGAAATAAAACTTTCAATCTTTTTTAATGATACGCAAAGACTTTAGAACTTGAAATGTAATTTTTAGGACAGACACATCAGCACTAATGAATCTTTACTTGAAACATGTTTAATCCAATGCAAGTTATTTTTATGTTTTGCTCAATTTTATTAACATTCAAAAAATAAATTTCCATTGTCTTTTGGCATAAAGAGAGAGCTTAAATATTCAGGGTTCAGTTACAAGTTGGAACTCCCTGAAGCAGAACTCTACAGTAATGTATACTAAATAGCAATCCAGATATCTTGAAGGCAGTTTACTTAAAAATTGGTCTAAGACATAGACATATGAGACAAAAGGAGAATATGTGCTTACTTCCCTCTTAAGGGAGTTTGGGATTGTCTGAAAACAGTCCTCCATTGCTTTCTAAGTGGGAAACATTTGGGGAAGCTCGTATCTAGTGCCGAGTTCTCTGCTTAACACTGGGGCTAGGCATTGCAGGCATCAGAAGAGGAGTAAGAAGCTCTTAAGGATCTTGTCAATTACAGGAGTACTCATGTATAACATAAGGTAGAATGTATGCCATAGGAGAGGTGCCAAGTGTTATGTAAATACAAAGGAGGTATGACCAAGAAAGGCTTTTTGACTTAATTCAGATGGACTTTAAATTAGGATGGAGTGAGGGGAGTGGAATTATGAGGGCTTCCAGGCAGAGAAAAAAATGTGATCAAAAGTGGAAAGTGTAGGAGCCTTTTCAAGGACTAGTGCTTTCAGGATAACGGAACATAAAATTAGAAAGAGGCCATATTAGGAAAGACTCTGAAGAAGGGCAGCAGATACGATATTTCAGCAGGCAATGGAGAACCACTGAAAAGTTTCTGACTTCGAGTGGCAGAGAGGCTAGGGAATGAGACTCTTTTAGTGATCTGGATTGGGTGCTAGGTCATGGACTTCCAACCAGGGTGACAGCAGTAGAATAGAAAGAGAGAGACTGGATGTGTTATTGAAGGACTGCTGGGTAGCCACTATATGAGGTGCTTTGTGGAATAATGTTTAATTGAAGCCAGATTATCAAGGTTGGATGCAGAGCTTTGAACTAATTGTGAAGGTAACAGGGAGTGGTAGATTTAAAGAAATGACTCATAAAGCAGTGCTTTAGGAGTCGTTTGTCAGGGCCACAGGAATTAGAGGAATAAAACTGTAGACTTAACTTGGGGACTGATTTTGTATGGCAGATACGAAGTGAGAAACTGGGCCAGTGGTTCTCAAACTTGGGAATGAGGGTGACAATGGGGAAGGGGCATTTGGCAGTGTCTAGAGACATTTTTGATTGTCATAACTGGAGGGGAGAGAGCAGTTCTACTGGCATCTAGTGGGTAGAGGCCAGAAATGCTGCTAAACATCCTGCAGTGCACAGGACAGCCTCCACAAGAATTATGTACCCAAAATGTCAGTAGTGCTGAGACTGAGAAACCCTAACCTGGAATATAGTGGTGGGAGTGGGACAAACATGAGATATGGGCCAGGCACAGTGGCTCACGCCTGTAATCCTTCGAAGCACTTTCGAAGGCCGAGGCAGGTGGATCACTTGAGGTCAGGAGTTCGAGACCAACCTGGCCAACATGGTGAAACCCTTTCTCTACTAAAAACACAAAATTAGCCGCGTGTGGTGGCGCATGCCTGTAATCCCAGCTACTCTGGAGGCCAAGGCAGGAGAATCACTTAGAACCTGGGAGAAGGAGGAGGTTGCAGTAAGCCGAGATTGAGCCACTGCACTCCAGCCTAGGTGACAGAGCAAGACGCTGTCTCAAAAAAAGAGAGAGAGAGAGAGGTGGTAGAGATTATGAAGGTAAACTCGAGAGGCCTGGGTTATTTGGCAGTGTTTTGGTGAGAGTACAATGGGGCAAGGATCATTCTTCGTCACACCACTCACAGTTAGAAAAGGGGCAGGAAGAGGGCTTACTTTTTAAAAGAGACAATGATGAGTTTGGTTTCAGACATTTTTAGATGGCAATTCCGATCTCTTGGGGACAGTTGGAAGTGGGTGGAGATTTGTCCTGCTGGTTCTTACAGCAGTTCAGGTTTAGGTGTTTGGGGTCTTTTCCTCTGTTTTGCTCACCTAGGTGTTTAGGGATGGGAGACAGTGTCACATAGACTGGGTATGCACATACATATCAGGACCTTGATTGGTACAGTAGTTTACAGTGTTTGTTAGTAAAAGTTAGGAGGGGACTGAGTCATCTGGGGACGTGAGTGTAGAGAACAAAGAACACCGAGCCCAGAACCAAACGAGGAAGGAGCTGGCATTTATTGAGTGCCTATTACGTTCTTTGACCAGGCAAATCATTTTCATGGAAGAACTCATTTGATCCTTGCAACACCTTGTGAAGTGGGTGTTATTCTTGTTTATTTTATTTTTTATTTTTTGTTTTTATTTTTATTTTTTGAGACAGTCTCGCTCTGTCGCCCAGGCTGGAGTGCAGTGGTGCGATCTTGGCTCACTGCAACCTCCACCTCCCAGGTTCAAGTGATTGTCCTGCCTCAGCCTCCTGGGTAGCTGGGACTACAGGCATGCGCCGCCACCACGCTCGGCTAATTTTTGTATTTTTAGTAGAGACGGGGTTTCACCATATTGGCCAGGCTGGTCTTGAACTCCTGACCTTGTGATCCGCCCACCTCAGCCTCCCAGAGTGCTGGGATTACAGGTTTATTCTTGTTTACTAAGAACTTGATAACAGGGAATTTAAATAATTTATTTGTGAATAGTTTGTATCTCTCCCTTACTATTATTCACCAGCTCTTACCTTCTCTGGTCATGTGGTTTGGGGGCAGGGTAAGGAATAAAATTCAGTTGGTCTGATTTTGACTTGCCCACAGTTCTTATGAATAGTAGGGATTTTGGAATATTTGATTTTGAGTTACGTATCAACTTCCTCCTTTGCATAGTAAGTAGTTTAATGTATGATGATGTCTTGAAACACAGCCACTTCAAAGAAAGAGGGAGATTCTTGTAGTTGGTATCTGGGGCACACACAGATACAATTTTTCTTTATTACAACTGTCAGATGTTTTAAGGTGTGCTCATTATACTTGCTTTGGAATAGCAGAGGAAAATCTATTCTGAGTTTAAGAGTTTGTTTTTGAAGACAGAATGTCAATAGATAAACTGAAGGAGTGGATGCTTTGTAAAATTATGCTCCATGCCACATAATAACAAGATGAGGGGGAGAAAAATCTGGCTCATAGGATTTAATCATGAGGAATTTTGCTGTCTGCTGAGCAAGACAATATTCATTGTTGTGGCTTAAAAGTCAGCTTTTTCCGAGTAGTTTATTTTTTAAAGATTAGGAAAGATG